TTATGACAAATCACGGCTTGAACTATCTTGCTTTGCATGTAAATGAGTCTTATATATTAGTTTCACCTATTCTAATTTTTCGAGTTTCACCTGTATATTACAAATCATGCGAGGTCTTTTTTCCAGTTGAGTCTTATTTTCAGGGAAACACAATAGTAGCTGGCAGAACCATTTTGTAGCAATTAGCATAATCTTTGCTTTGCAATACAACAATGGAGAATGTGTGAAAGTACTGAAGACACTACAGGTAGTTCTCAACATAAAACTGAGCACAAACTTTCCGTTGCTAAGCATGATGGTTAAATGAATTTTGCCCCGTTTTACAAACTTTCTTGCCACACCTGTTTGGTAACGTGGCTGTTAAATTAATCTGGCTTCCCCACTGACTTTGCTGTGAGAAGCTCACAAAAGGTGATCAACATGACACACACGGACGGACACTGCAACCATCATAAATGCGAACCACTTGCCAAGCATCTGAATTTTAATCACGTGACCACGGGGAGGCTGCAACGCTTGTGTGAAAAACAGCCATAAGTCATTTTTTTCAGTGCCATTGTAACTTTGAACAGTCATTACATGAATGATTGTAAGTTGAAGACTAAAATGAAAGAGTGTTATGTTTTAGAGACAGCGTCCATGTTTACAAGAGGTGCCTGGTAACTCAAACAGCAAACAGGCCGTTCCCATTGCAATAACAACTCTGGGCCACTCCCAAGTCCCACCTTTTAGAATATTGAACCTTGCCAGTGGCAACCACTTACACACGGACATGTCAATTGCAACATCTATTATCGCCTGTTTTAATTTGTCCTGTCCCATTTCCTCACAGTAGATAACCCAACAATCCAGGACCACCATCAGATAATTGGAAATGTGCAACTGTAACCCATCTCAAACTACTGAAAGGATTAGACTTTAACTAAAATGCACAAAATTAGAACCTTCCTTTTTTTAGCACAAGACACTGAGTGGGGGACAAGGGAGTAGACAAGTCCTAGTTGACTTGGAAGTCAGGCTGACAACTTTCAGTTTCTTCCAAAGTTTTTTCACACTGCGTTTTGATGCACGGTTGAAGACAGCAGCACTTGGACACTGCAGACGTGAGAATGCAACACACAAAGAAAGTGTGTCTTTTCTTAGAAGGAATTGCTGCTTTAAAGTATTACAGACAGGTATAACTTTCATACGCTTGACCCTAAATGGTGCACCACCCTAACACACTTCTACACATTATATACTAAGAGGAAAACCCAATATGGGATCAACATAGACTTTAATCTACAACTAGTCTAAGACTTGAGTCTAAAACCAACTGAAGGAAGATAAACATTTACAAGATCGCAACAGTTCATAAAAACTGCAAAACCAAAAGCAGCACATTTGTTGAGATATAATCTGGGTTTACATTACATTTCATTTCATTTTTGCCCCTTTCTGGAGCTTAGGTTTAAAATTAAACATTGGTGCTACAAAACCAAAACGATTATCCTATCATCGTCATACATGGGAGCAGGCTTCAAGTGAGTAAGAATTAAAACAATATTGCTGGTTTTAGTCAACTCATTTAGTTTCAATATAACTTGCAGTGATATCTAACTTTCAATATGGTATAGGCTTGCTCTTTACTAATAATCAAGATATGTGTCTTTAATTAGTTTATTTAAACAAATTTTCATCATTGTAAGTAAATCACAATGTGGAGAACATACAATGGTCCTTCCAGTAGATGAAGCTGCGAGTCATTAGAATTGTCCTTTACAAATAATATTTCTTAGGAAATGTTGAGATTGTATACCAAAACAATGGTAGAGCCGTTGGAATGGAGCATTCAGGAATGATGGAAATATGCTGGATGAATGCTTTGACAGATGCAATTATTCTTTTTGTATGCATTTATTGTATACTTTTACAATGCAGCAATCAAGTTAGAAAGCCTGTACACAGAGTAATCCTCCCACCCTAAGGATTTAAATTGTCCTTCTTGAGTTGCTTTTTAGCAACAGACTCCGCATAAATCCTAAATTTTGTATGTATCTGATCTGTATAACTAGCCAAGGATTAATTTGTACTTATGTGTGCAACAATAAAGCAGAAATAATTTAAACTGCTAACTGCCAGTTACTCGAAGTAATAGGTAATATGTGTCTCTTTAAAAGCAAGTTTGCTCAAGAAAAGGAAGTTACAAGAAAATAGCAATTCTGCCAAATGAGCTATAGCTCAATACTGCCGTCTGTGCTCATGTTAGAAACAAAGATTGTATAAGAAGAAAATGTTGATGGAAAAGATGCTCATTTAGTCCAGCTGACTTTGGGGATGTCATAATGCTCAGTCAGAGTATCCAAGTGTCTGTTAAAATCCTAGGAAAAAAGAATATTAGTCAGAAGCAAGAACTCTATTACTTTACAAATGCAGAGTATAAATATTCAGATTCGGCAAAGATCTATTTGAATAAATTTCATTGTGAGTATGTAAAAACCCTGATTTCAGTTAATCTAGTTTGTATGTACTCAATAGAAGTTAATCCAAAATAAGAAACTTTAAATAGACACAATTTTTCCTAATCACATTTTTCCTACACATTTGGAAGTAATGAAGAGAAAAGAACTCAGAAAAATAGTGTTGAATCTATGTGTACCGTATTTTTTGGAGTATAAGACGCACCTTTTTCCCTCAAAAAAGAGGCTGAAAATCTGGGTGCGTCTTATACACCGAATACAGCATTTTTTTCCCTCCCGAAACCTCCAGGAGCACTCTACAAGCCTCCTGCCTTTAAAAAAAACCAGGCCCGTTTATGCGAAAAACGGGCCGTTTTTGGGACGTCTGCAGAGTGCAAAACTTTTTTTAAAATTTGCTTCTTCAAAACCTTGGCATCTTATACTCCGGTGCATCTTATACTCCGGTGCATCTTATACTCCAAAAATATGGTAAATTGGCACTGGGAAAGATCCAATAGGCACCCAATGATAAGCATGTAATTACAGGAAGGAAGTTACATGTCTTACTTATCTACATTGAGGATTCCACCTTACTTGGCATGAAATGAAGGGATTGAGAATTGATGTTTGCCCAACTCTACTGAACAGTTTGTCTTTGCCTCCTGTTGCAAAATTAGGTTGGGCCTTTCTTAAATATTTGGCAGGTGATTGAGGATTGCTCTTCTACTGAGAGTTCAAGAAGGAAAAATGGATAGAGGTAGTTCTCAACAATCACAATTGGGACTGGAATTTCAGTTAAAGGAGTCATGTTACCAAACCAAATTTAATTAACCTTTTACCAATGTTTCTAAACAAATTGGTTGTTATGGCTTCTCCAGCTGACTGTCAGAAGCCAGTTGGGAAGATCCCACTGCAACACATTACAACCATTGTAAATGTGAGACAGTTGCCAAATGCC